TGGCATCCCAAGCCAGCTCCCAACCATCGCGCCACTCAGCCGGCCCCAGATCCCCTTATCTTGCTGTTTCTTTGTATTCAAGAGTGAAGGTCTTGATGGAAATATTTTTACTTGAAAGAATAGGGGGACCCCACTCATTTGTATATTGCTTGTAGGTACTGAAGGATTTAAGTATTTGATTTAAAAGTAATAAGAAGTATCCACTTTTCGGATACCTAAGGCCAGATAGTACAATACAAAACATATGTGTTCTCCTTACTTTCATTTGACATTGACAATAAATTTAAACATTTTCAGGCAGTATGAAAGGAGCAGTTTTGCCTATTTAACGAGCAAGTGGGCAAACTGCCTAAGTTCTCCAGACATCAGCTGTTTTTGCTATAAAATAAGGCATTGGCTTAAATGATCGTACAGTCCCAGGAAGCTCTTAACTCCTGTGAATATATGCTTTTCTCCAATAATGTTAACATGTAGATTTTCCTTTTTTTTATATTCTTTAAATGTTCTTTAAAGTGCATGTTTTGCTTGCTTTTAAATATAAACCTTTAAAAGGAAAAGCAGAGACCTAATTTAAACATTTTGTCTTCTCTCGGGTTCTGGGTTCTGTGCAGAAAAAGTATTTGTGTTGAAAAGTTCACTTAGCTCTTTTGTGGTGTTAGCAATAGTGAAAAAAGAGCATGGCATTGAACCTCATTCTGTGTTTTGTATTTTCAGTTGCAGTACCTACCTCAGCTGACGAGCTGCAGTATCCTTCCAGCTTTGGATAATAAGAAGTACTGCTATAATACCAAGAAACTTAACTACCGTTTTCCAAATATTTAAGGAGCTTGAGATTGATGATAAAAAGACTTGATCAATAATTCAAAGAAAATAAAACATATTATACATTCGATTGAAAACGATTACAATGTTGAGAAAACAAAACCAGCTGGAGGAGGCCACTTGGCAAGCTATGAAGGGAAATTCCAGAGGCAGTCTTCATGCTTGATGATGGTGTCCAGAACAGAAAGGAAACCTGTTTGGATTTTCACTTGTTTTTGTTGTATCTAAGTAGCCAAGTTTATGGACAGATGTATAACCAGTATCTACTGCCCAGACCTTGGACAAAATTAGAGATGTAAAAAAGATTTATGCTTTAATTGTACCATATGCAACACATGAAAACTGGATTACAAAACGCCCATATATATATTGGGCTGTTGGAAGTCATGACGCATTTTTGCAATGAAAAACAGAAAAAATACGTCTTGACTTTTCCGACAACCTGGTATTTCCTTGGACCTCTGTTGCCTTGAGCACTGTGTTCTGCTTTTTCAGAGTGTCTCAGCATCATGAGAGTGTTAGCATTTGAAATCATTTAAAACTCCATTTCCTGCTTGATCTTGATTTTTATATTTTAAAACATTTTGTGGACTATTTAAGAGTTCAAAATATTTAATATCATATGGATTATCACAAAAATACTAACTTATATGCTTATATATTTGTTTATAGACATTTCTTATGTATAATTTTGCCTTTACCTTCAGTAAAGGATGCATCTTAGTCTTTTTTGCAGGCAAGATGGATTTACTGTAATCCATCTACTCTTGTTCACCCACCTCCCCTTGCAGACAATGGCATGAAGACTGGCAGCTGACCAAAGTGATCAAGGGGTAGAACAAAACCTAGAGGCTTGGCAGGAACTGAGCCTGCCATCCTGAAAATAATTAGCACTTCATTCTCTTCAGCTCTGCCTCAGACTTGGAGACAGAGCTACAAGCAGGACCATAGCGATCTGGGTTTTGGAAGAAATAGCTTGTGAGCTTTTCCTTGGGTCATGAAAGACATTAAGTTATAAACTGTTTTCCTTGAAATATCTTCTTACACTATATGTATTATATATATGTATATATACACACACGTGTACATATATATATATAATATATATATGCTAACAATAAAAACATAGTCCAAAATGATAGAGGATTCCTAGCTTTGCACAGTGATACTTAAAATGATGACACATAATTAGCTATGATTTGGCCTATTGCTCCTATTAAAAAAGCTTTTTCATTCTTGTCATGTGGACAAGTGGGCAATATAAAATTCATGTCTGTCTACTCAAAGCCATTTTTGGTTGATGTGCTGCTGTTGTTTTCTAGCAGGTCTCAGCTACAGTTTTGGAAGTTATATTTCACTGTATCGTCACATTTCTTCTGCACCGTCAGTTTACTGCTATGTTAATTTTCTTCTTGAGAGCATTTGCTCTTATTCACTTACAGCTAAGTAATCCACCAAATTCTGGCAGGTGTTCAATAATTTGGGCTACCCCAGCCAGATTAATGATATCCTAAGGCTTCCTGATATATGTAGCTTCTTGCATGCAGGTGGGCTAAATACTACCCCCCCCCAGTATTATCTAATTCTTGTTATGCAGCCTTGATTCAAATGACAAGGAAGGACACCCAACTTCTGTGAGTAGTTTACATTTTGTGTTTTTTTCCATAACCCGAAACAATGTATAATTGATGAGGCAGATGACTGTAACTGCCTAATTCATCTAACAGTTTTACAGAAAACCATGAAGAATAGAAAATTAGCTCCAGACTAAATTGTGGTGAATCACTTGCCTCACTACACAATAATCAGACAAACTTGAGACAGAAGTGCTTATCTTTTCCTAATGAGTCCTAAAATATTAAATATATGCTTATGTTTAACTTATCCATATCTGCAATCCTTTCTTCAGCATGGAATCACCACTGTTTCTATATTCTTTTTTTAATTTAATATTTTCTGATTTTTTAAAATGACAGTGTCAATTATATTAGTAAATAGTGTATCATTTATGATATGTGCTATTTACATAAGCTGTTTTCTAAACACAATTAAAATTCATTTTTCTACCTAATGTTGCATCACAGAATATATTTATTTTAAAATTATTTCCAGTCAAGGTTATATTCAGCAGCTTAATGTTCAAACCAAACATACACAGAAATCCACAAACAAGTTGGCATGTAACTAATAACAATAGAATCAGGCCATTTCAAGTAGGTAAAAATAAAGATCTGTTTTTATCTATTAATGATATTCTTTTTAAGATTTTATTGGGGAATTGGGGAAGGGGAACAGACAAGTTGCTGTCCTTTGGTTCTTCAGTTTAGTTGTGGAGGGTGTCGCTTCACTGGCCCATGTTTGGTATTATCATTGCACTCTTCCCAGGTGAGGCAGTTGCTCACTGGCCATTGGATGGCAGCTCACGGTGGTTCACAGCAGCTCATGAAAGCTCACGTCAGCTGCCGGCCAGCCCCACTGCAGCCTACACCGTCGCCAGCAACTCACAGTAGCCCAGCTCCAGGTCGAGCTGTTGTTCACCACCTTAGCTGTAGAGGGCGCAGCGTCACTGGCCCTCAGGTGAAATCCGAACCGGGGCCCTGCTGCCCAGAGCTGGCGTCCCAAGCCAACTCCTAACCAACGTGCCACTTGGCTGGCCCACTATTAATGATATTCTTTATCAGTGCTTTCTAGATATAAATTGAATTTTATGCTTATACTTCTTTTTGATGTCCCTTGAGCTCACAGGAAGTGGTATCCAACATATAGGAGGAAATAAAAATTAGTTTCTAATTGACATGTTAAAATTTTCTATTTAAATCAATGTTTTAATTTAAGCAAAAAGTAAGTACAACTGTGCTGGTCTACATGCCTGTTTCCTCTATTCTTTTGCAAGCAGCACAACTATTTGAATTCAGCCAAGTATTTGTAATTACTTTTAATAAAACACCAGATAAGCTTACTAAAAAGACACATTCGCCAGAAACTATTTATTCAGAGAAAGAGTGTATGTTATAAAAAACACAGGAATGCAGGATCATGTGAAAGGCATGCAAATCCTGGGAAACAATATGAATGCCTCAACAACCACTGACTACTTTGTATAATTGACTCCATCAATGAATCTGAAATTTGGCTTTCAATTTTTCATGATTGTACATTTATAGTAATATGCTTCAATAACTTTAAAGTAAAATGTAAAAGATTACTGTTTAAATACAACAAAGAATATCTGTTGTACATTTAAATCACTTTAAAGAACTCTCAGTATCTATATCAAGAGGTATCTATATACATATCTAGATAAAATGAGGAATATATTAGAATTAAAATGCTACTTTTTTTTTAAAATGCATTTTTTAAATTGCATTTTTCTTAAAATGATTTAGTGTACATAAAAACCCCTAATTCCAGTATGGTAACTTTAGTGAGTCGTGTCTGAATATTTATTTTCTACATGATGGACTCTGCTTCTAAAATGTCATGATATTCTTATAGTTCTATTGTTGATTATATAATAATTTGTTGCTGTTAAGGATCAACAGTTTTAAATGATACTTTATATTGAATAAGGCACTTATTATTATTTCACTTCAAGTCTAATTTTAGTTCCAGAGAAGGTAGTGCTGTCTTAAAGGCTTGGACAAGGTTCTCTTTATCTCTTATTCCAGGAAGATCCCTTAACAACAAATACTTGAGTTTTCTGTAAAAAGAGAAAAAAAAATTACCTCCATTTGGCTTTTACTCTTACAGCATTAAAAATAAACTCGATATATTGACTATTAGAAAAAAATTACACACAGAATGTGTATATGTCATCCTATATTTTCAAAATGACTTTTATAACAGTAGTCTTAGAATATGACTTTAAATGAAACTCATGGTAGGAATTAGGCCAGACTTTGGAAAGTTTAGTTATTCTAAAGTACATCAATAATTCTAGCTGAGTCTTTTGAACTACTATTTGTATATTATAGCATAGAACTTCTTTGCATGTGAGATATAAAATATGAATCTTAACCTAGAAAGCGAAAACAAATGCGGAAGTTCTTAAAGGAACTCAAGTGGCTATTAAAAGATGAAGACTCAAAGCCTCAACTAATCTAAGAGACAAACAATCTACTATTTTTGGTTATAATGTTTAAAATTTCTCAAACTTCCTGTGATAGGTTATTGGTTCAAAGTTTGAACCAATAACATGGGGGAAATTGCAATATAGAACATGGGGGAAATTGCTTTAAAAGATGGAGAGGAAGCATAATAACGAATGTTTATTGAGCGCTTACTATAACAGGCACCATGCTAGGTGCTTTATGTAGATTTAATTTTTAAAAAATATGCCCCCTAAAAAATGCAATAGAACCTTAACATATTACAGTTGATAATTATAACTTTTTAAAGGTATTATAGATGAAAGTGAAGTCATTTTCTTAAATTATATTTTTCAGAACTAAAATAAGATAGCACTCAACTGTTTTAAATTCTGATTATTCACAAATGCCATATGATCTCACTTCTACTCTCACATGTGGAATCTAAAGAACAAAATAAATGAACAAACAAAACAGAAACAGACTCATAGATAGAGAACAAACTGATGGTTGCCAGCGGGGAGGGGGTTGAGGGATGGGTGAAGAAGGGTAAGGGATTAAGAAATACAAATTGGAAGTTACAAAATAGTCATGGAGATGTGAAGTACAGCCTAGGGAATAGAGTCAATAATATTGTAATAATTATGTATAGCGCCCCGTGGGTACTAGACTGATTAGGGAATCACTGCATAAATTATATAAATGTCTAACCACTATGCTGTACACCTGAAATTAATATAAAATATTGAATGTCAACTGTAATTGAAAACAAATTCTGATTATTCCCCTTAATATCATTATCAAGTTTCCATTTTGGCAATGAATACCTACCTTAAATGACGCAAAGCAATGATGCCTCTGTCTGTGACGTTCCCACATGAAATTATTTCCATTTCCAACAGGCTTTTTTGTAAGTTTTCTAGTTGCCCAAGTCTCTCCAAACAGTCATCCTCGATATAATGACACTTGCATAGCCTTATTTTTTCAACATGCTGTAGGCCCTCTGGGGGTAAAAAAGTGCAGTTTAAGAATCTGCTTTACCATTAAGATGACCAATTGTCCTAGGTTGCCCAGGATTGTTCTGGTTTTAGGATTGAAAGTCCTGTGTGCTGGGAAAACTCTCGGGCCCAGGAAGGAAAACTTTAATGGTCAGTCACCTTATTAACTGTACAAGGTATTCACTATATAGGTTGTGCTGACGGACAGGACCATTTTGTAGTCAGACACCATGCACTGGAGGAAAGAAATGCCCACAAAGGCAGAAGCTGTGTGGATACAATTATTCCTACATTACTGAGGATTTCTCAGTGACAGAACTTTGACAAAGACTGACAAACAAGGCCTTCAATTTTAAGTCAATAAACCACAGAAAAGTCATGTAGAGACAAGCTTAGCAAGGGGAGAAAGGAATGGAAGGTGTTTGTAACCTCTAATTTAAATATCATACAAAGGAAAAAACAAACTGGATTATACTGAAAAAACAAAAAGGACACACCTATGACTATAATATTCAATTGCAACAAAATGTCACTGTGAATCATAAGCAAATGATAGGGTAGTTACCCATGTGATCAAATCCCATGTTCATGATACAAGAGTTCGTGGCATCGATCTGCTGGATCTTGTATTTGTCCAGGGGGCCTGTTGGAAGGTTGTTGTAGTCCTGCTGCCACCTCTCCTGGCCATGGTAGCGCACCATGGCCCCACAGCGCAGCAGCCACTCAGAGGCTGCCCTGTTGGGGCCGACATCCCTGATGCGTTCATAATCTACTCTGTTAGAAAGAGAACAAAAGCAGTTAGCTTTTACTACAACCACTAGCTTCTTAACTATATTCACCAATATAAATACAGAATAGCAACAACTTTTCATTTCAAATGACTGAGGAGGGAGATAAGTATATTAGTGAGATCCATGTAGAAAACATATGATGGCTCTACCTGTTACCTTTCCTGCTTTTATTTTTTCCAAGGGAACTTTGTCAAGGCATATTATTTTTATATGAGTTTATCAGGGAGACATGAGTCTTCATTGATTTGTATGTAGCACAGTACTTGACACCAGGAGGTACTCAATAACTATGTACTGAATGAATGACACACTTGGTTATTTTTACTGCTTTATTCATGATAAAAGAGGGGATAATTTTGAACTTATGTTCAAATTAAATCTCCTTTAGTGATATTTATTAATTTCTACATATGCCTTTTTCTCTAGTTAGTGGTGTTAATGCTATATTAAACAACAAGGGGGATTAGTTTCATCAGTTTCAAAATATTTCTAAGCACGCCACCCCATTTTTAAAAATTTGAGTTCCCTTGATAGTATTCAAAAGGATAACTACACCCCTTAAGAAGGCATAAGAAAAAAATATTCTAAAATTACATTTACTGAGCTTTTCTGATTATGAAAGTAATAAATATTCATTTTAGAAAACTTGGAAGGCATGGAAAGGCCAAAGAAAAAAATCACTGAAATCCTGCAACCCAGGCACATTAATATTTTGTAATCTACTTTTTTAGTCTTTATTCAATGCTTATATGTTTTGTTTGTTTTTAAACAAATGAGGATCATACTGCACACACTGTACAAAGAAAAAAAACCATTTGAAATACAAGAAATAACCAAAAAGCTACTGGGAACTCATCTAACTTGAACAATTCCCCAAGTTTCTTCACTTTAATTAGAGTAACTTACTTATTAAACACTGCATTCAACCAGCCCCAGAAGTATCTGGAGTCATTTGACCATGGGAGTTTCTTTAAGCCACACAACTGCCAGGAAATTTTTCCAAACAGCATGATTTGATCTAGACACACAAAACAGTATTCATATTAGGTCATCAGTTGGTAATCAGAGTCACATACATATAGTCACTTACTTCACAACTTCCAAGTCAGTGCTCTTGTGCCAATAAAGCTGATGACTCACTTGTCTCTCAATAGTTATTGGGCAAGTCACTCCAGTGTTTCCTGATTTCTTATGCTGCAAAAATCAGGGGCTCTGGTTCCTTCCAGCCTTGACATTAAGTTCCATCATTCTAGCCTGCAGGTTGCCACCTGGTGTCCATTCAGGCAGTGCACCTACAAATTTATTGAAACCAACTCCACTCCCAATCTGTTTCCAGCATGAAAATGGCAAGCTAAAATCAATCAGGGAGCAATGTGTCGAAGTCAAGAAGCCTCCATCCAGGAAGACAGAGGAGACTTGGAAACATCTCCCTGTGTTAAGGCTGCAAGTAGTGTCACCACAACAGTGTAAGGAACCGTGCTGGAAGGGCAGCTGGAAAAGACTAGGCAAGTAACTTCACCTCTTTGACCCTTGGTTTTCTCATTTATAACATGAGATGATGTGCTCCGATGATTTCCAGCTGTAAAAAGCTATCACATGAGTTGAGAAAGTGATTTCTGAATTGGGTTTCAATCTGATTTATCTCAGTTCAAGTTTCTCTAGTAGTGTGATAGTTTGGGGGTTCCGGGGGACAACAATACACGAAACTCAGTCTCTGCCTTCAGGGAGCTGACAACTTCAGGCGGGGTGGAGTGAGCTAAAACAAGCTACCAAGTAGTTAAAATAAAGGACAGAACCTGATAAACACCTCAAAAGAGTTAAAATAAGAACAGACCAGGATTTCAATAAAGATACCAGGGAAAGTTCTGTCAGTTGATTAGCTGAGGCAGGAACATTTAAGGCATGTTGTAGTTCAGTTTGGTTAGCACATCGGGGAGATAAGAAGAGGAGACGATTGACACAGTCACATCAGGAAGGGTGTGGCACGATCAGCCAGGGGATTGGACTGTCTCATGCAGGTAGCTGGGAGTCACTGAGGTTTTTAGCACAGAACACTGGCTTTCTTAGAGCTATGCTTCCAGAATATTACTCAGACAGCAGCATCAAAGATTAAGTACAAAAGAACAGGTCAGAGAGACAGCTAACAAGGGCTTCAACCACATGTGGCATGGGAAAGGGCTAAGTGAGGGAATTATGGGAATGACATTACAGAGTGGATTCCACATGATTCAGTAGGTGAGAGGTAGAGGCAAGGGCCAGAGAAGTTGAAGATGACACTAAGTTTTGGTCCTGAGTCACTGGTAAGATAATGATGCCATTATCAGAAACCAATGTCAGGAGGACAGGGCTGGGGGTTCAGGGGTTTTTTTTCCTCCCAGTTTTTCATATTCTAAATATAAAGCATCGGCAGAACTTCTAAGTGGAGAAGACCAACAAATCATTAGAATCAGAGTCACAAAATGGTAGAGCTGGAAGGAATTCAGACCACCTAGACAAAACCTTCTATTTAGAGATGAGGAAACTGAAGCCCTAGTATTGAGTAACTTGCTGACACCCTAAATCCCTTCTGGAACAAGGCGGGGTTTTAATAAATGCATGTGTTTAAAAGAACTTGCCCAATGTTTCATGGCTAATTGGTGGCAATGCTTAAACTTGAACCTAGTGCTACCACCAGACCAGAGCTCTTTCCTTAGTCATTGGATCGTTCTACAAAACAAAAAAAAAGAAAGAAAGAGGACTAGAAGGAGGCCTAAGTGGGAACCACCTTAGAGCTGAGGAAGTGACTAAGGATGCTGAGGTTATGGAACGGTGAGAGGTGAGGTCTGTGGACAGAACCTGGAATCGCCCTCCTCCTCCCTTTTCCACCATCACTCTGCCTTCATTCCTGCAAAACTCACCCCCTGCTATTGTCTGTCACGTTCTCAGCCCTCTCCAGCTTTTGGTTAACGCTCTTTCCATCTATGCCCCCTTCTGATAATTCCATTGACTGCAGCTTCATCTGGGCTTTCCAGCGTCACCTCAGACTGTTCCCTCTTTGTATCATCCCTCCCAATCTTGTCTAGGAAAATCTTACCCAACCTCAAGACTTTACTCAAATGCCATCTTCATCCATCCATCTATTCATTCACTCAATAAATATTGATTGCATGTCCGCTATACCTAGCGCAAGAGATACACTAGGAAGATAGAACAATCAAACAAAACAAAGGAGAGACAGAAAGACTGGTTCCTGTCCTCATAGAATGTATAGACTAATGAAGAAGGCAGGCGGCATAAACAAATAACATGCAACATGGGGTCTTAGTAGACATATAAACACATACCGTCAGAGCCTAGAGGAATAAGGGGAAGGTTTCGCACTAGCGTTTTCTTTTGAGATGGGTCTTAAAGGATGATTAAGAGTTTCTAGTTAGGCAGAAAAAAAGAAAAGTATGCAGAGAAAAAGGAAAAGCAAGGATCACATCTTTTTCATTTCCATTTTTCTTAGCACCTAGCACAGTACAGTGTTATACCCCTAATGGAAGAGTTTAATAAATATTTGCTAAGTAAGTCTTCTATGGTTGATATATTTCCATGGAGAAAGATAAAACCAGAGAAATTGTTATTAAGCAGGTAAGTTAGAGTGGTCTGTGAAAATTTAAGTACTTTCACTTGATTCATTTGGGCCTACCTTATACTTCAGCTTAAAGAAAAGGCCAAATTTACTTCAGCTATGGTCTCTAAAAATATTAGATAAAGTAATTTAAACGTGCAAACAAATTTTTATTTGGCAATAAAGGTAAAAAAATAAATTGGTAGGTTTTTACATTCTCAAAGACAGCTTTGCTGGCTGATTTTAGGCATTTCAGATGAATTCAAGCAGTTATCCCTGGGAATGCTTTCTACAGGGAAAGAGGAGACCTCTAGTGGTAAGTTGGTTAATTTAGCTCTAATGAATTAAAAGAAACCAGTTAAAAGCAAGTTAAAAAATAACCATTACTAAATTACTGCTGCAATAAATAATTCAAAAATTCAAATCATGAAAAAAACAAAACCAAACTTCTTACTATCATAACATGGCTTAGAGCCATAAGTTTTAGCAGATGTTTCCAAAAGTTGCAATAATGTTTGTGACTTAGAGAAAGCCAGGCCTCTAATGTGTGACTCAAAATAGGATATATATAAAGTTTTCTGAGTAGGTTTGAGAGTCTCTGCATAAAAATGTTTTTTGTGTTTTTTTTTTAAGTGGAAGTTCTGTTCCTACATATTAAATGTAATTACTCCAGTGGGCTATTTAAAGTGATGGCTAACTTAGTGGTCAAAAAGACTGAACAAGCAATTAGTTCTTAAGGGTGGTAAAAATGTGGAGAGGGTGGGGTGGCATTAGAGTTGGAGAATTATAACCCCACCTTCTTGCAAATAACCTATTATTGATGCCAATTCTTATTCCAGAGGTGTGAAGAGTCTAGTGAAATGTAACAGAGCAATTTATTAGGAATTGGAAGCAAAGGTCCCAAAAGCCATTTCTAGGCCAACATCACATGGCACTCATTGAATTAACATCTTACAGCTTCTGACATAGGTGGAAAAAGATGAACATGAATTCTCTGCTGAGGAGGGTGGTATCATGAGTATAAATGTCTCTAGACAAAGACATTACAGGGTGTATAAATGTATGGTAAGCTCTTGATTTGAAATTACTAATTGAAACAAATTAATGTACAGTCAAAACATAGGGGAGAGGGTAAGCAAAAAAACTTATAAAAAGAGCATGTGTATTGTGAGAGTACTTTCACCTTGCTAAACTAAGAAGCACATGCTCAAAATCAGAGTAGTAAAAAAGTTACTACTATGGGCCTAGCTGGTCCATGAAAGTCTGACCACCGACCCTAGAAGTGTATAATTCTGTATTCAACGTAGTAACAAATCAACTACATCCTGTGCAAACTAAAAAATAACCATCTCTATTACACAGCTATCAGAATAGTGAAAAAAAAATTTTTTTTTAAAGTGACACCACCAAATGCTGGTGACAATGGGAGAAACTAGATCACTCAATATTGGTGGGAATGTAAAAACGTACAGCCACTTTGGAAGAAGTTTGGCAGTTTCTTACGTGTGCTAATCATATGACCCAGCAATTGGACTCTTGGGCATTTATCCCAGAGGTTTAATGCCCCAAAACAGGTTTACACAAAAAAGCTGCACAGTAATATTCACAGCAGCTTTATTCAAAATAGCTAAAAACTGGAAACAACTCAGATATCCTTCAATGGATGAATGGTTAAACATAAACATACTGAGGTGCCATGAAATACTACTCTGCAATAAGAAGGAATGAACCATCGATATGTATGCCAATTGGGATGGAGCTAAGGGATTATGCTGAGTCTAAAGGCCAATTCCAAAATGTTACATACGGTATAATTCTGTTTATATAAATTCTTGAAATGACAACATTTTAGAAAGGGAGACTAGACTGAGGAAGGGGTGCCCTGGAGGGAAGTGTAGTTATAAAAGGGCAACCATAGGGAGTCTTGTGGTGAAGGAACTGCCATACTCGTAGCTTCACAGTGGTGGCGGACACAAGAATGTACACACGTGATAAAAATGATACAGAACTAAATACATGCAAAAATGTAAAACTGCGGAAATCTGAGTAAGATCAATGGATTGTGTCGATCTTAGTTTCCTGGCTGGGATGTTGTACTATAGTTTTGCAAGATGTTCTCATTGGGGGAGACTGAGTGAAGGGTAAACAGGATCTCTATTGTTTCTTACAACTGCTTGGGAATCTATGATTATCTCAAAATTTTATAATTGAATTTAAAAAATAACCATCTCTCTTTCCTTTTAATTTGTGATGGAACAAGTAGGTAACATTCTACATTGTTTTCACAAATAAAGCAAACTACATACAACTATCCAAGAAGTAAAATCATTTGAGCATAATAAAAGCAGTCATTTATTGAGAACTTCATTATGCCAAAGACCTGAGGAGCCTTCTCTCATGTAATCCGAACAGCCCTATGAGGGAGACACTACTACTCCACCTAGTTCAGAGCAGGGTCTGAGGCATAGAGGTGAAATGACTTTCCCAAGTCACCGAATGACCGGAACCAAATTCAAACAGGCAAGCAAAATCCTTCCAGCCATCAAGTTGTATCATTCTATTTTTTTCTGTTCAGCTGTTCTGGCCCTCAACATTAAACACTGCCATCAAGCCCAGAGAACGGGTATTATACTGGCACGGTGACAGAGAATCACGTAATTTTACAGTTCAAAGGTCTTTTAGAGATTCCACAGCCCACTTCCCTCATTTTACAGATAAGGGAACAGGTGAGATGTGATCTGTAACAGGTGAGTCGCCGTTCCCAGGCCCGCACAGCATATTGAACCACTGTCTCGGCCCACTATGTGAGGAAAGATTGCTAGAGGATGGCCGAGGCAGAAGCCATCTGGTTCATCTAGGCGCTCAATATTTACAGGACCCACAATGACTGAATGAATGACACTGCCAAGAGCCCCCACAAAAAAGTGGAGCCGACTGCAGGCTATCAGGCGTTAAACTGACGAGGAGCCTCGGTCCCGACGGAGAGCGCCCCTTCAGTGGGCACTGCGTTGGGTGGGGGGCCGGGTTGCAGACTGCGGGTGCCCAGCAATCCCCCTCGAGCTGACCCGGGACAAGGCCCGGACGGGGCCGAGCGGGAGACAGGGAGGCCGCTGGGCCCACCCAAACGAGTTTTCGCCGTAATCACGCCCAGACTTTCTCCCGCGGCCCCGAGTCCGCAAGGCAGTGAAGGTCAAAAACGCGTGACTCGCCGGGGCAAGATTTCCGTAAGCCCAGCGAACAGAGATGGGAAAGCGCAGAGCACAACCACCACCCTAGGCTCGTCCCGCCCTGCTCGGGGCCTAACTCCTTTACTCACAGCGTCGCCGGGAGGGAGCGAGTAAGCGCCCCGGGCGTTTACGGCAGCGCCGGGCCTGCCCTTCGCCCTCCGCCGCGCGCGGCCATTGGTCACTAGCGTGAGGCGAAGGCGCACGCCTCATTGGTCGCTGCGTGGGAGGCGGGGCTAGACGGTGCTGCCCGAGGCCCCTTCGGTGTCTGGCTCGTGGCACCTCTGGCTGAGGCAGGGTAGGGGACGAAGGCAATGGTACCTGCGCTGCGTTACCTGGGCAGTGCTCGCGGATGGGTCTGCGGGGGGTTCCCTGGGGGCGTCTCCGCGGCGTGGGGGCCCGCGCCGGGGAGGCCCTGGCCGCTGTGCCAGGGTGGCCGCAGAGCCAGCACTAGGTGAGTAGCTTCTGTCTAGTGCCCGCTGCCTGCGCTGCATCGTGTCTCAGAGGAGCCTCGTGCTGGACCGATGCCCCTGCCCTCCCGCCCCGTTCCAGGCTTGAGTGAAGGTCGGGATCCCGTGGAGCGCGATCCTAGGAACTACCTACAGGATTTATTCGTTGTTTGTGGGCGGGAGGAAAAGAATAAGAGATGAAGGGTTGCGCAGAGGTCTAAAAGTCTGTCTTTGAATACAACCCCTCCACTTTCTATTTAACTTGCCGGGTTAAACTTACGCTCCTTAAAGGCTCAGTTGTAAACTCAAGCCTGGTCTCTCCCGCAGGTGGTCGTTGTGAGCATTAAAGGACCTAGCACACTTGTAAGCAATTAAATACGCTATTAGCTGACATCGCTGGTGTGACTTGGAAGATCTTAAACCAGCCTTAAATCATTAGTTCCTGGCACTGCATAGTTACTTCTGTGAGAAGCAGCTCAGTTGCTTATCAAAGTCTGCAGAATTCAGTGATTTGAAGTTCGGAGGTCACACTTGAAGCCACTGTCTGCTTTCTGTAGAGGGGGTGGATTATGCGAAGGCTTTAAAGCTGGAAAGCTCTTGGCTGTTTCTAGAACTAGAAGGTAGGGAAGATGAGTGTAATTGGAGTTTAGCGGAATGACACCAGAAGAGGGACTACATCACTGCAAGGATTTTTATTTTATTTTAACTACACATTGGATTTTATTCTAAGAGTGCTGGGAGGCTTTAA